AACCAAAATATTGACCAAAGTCCATAACCACTTTTAATCACCTCTTCATCCTAAAATTGTATTTGTACCGTTTTGTCAATTGAAATAAATTTTCATTATTATGTTTAATTTTGTATGTCTTTTATCATGAATTGTTATTTTTAAATATATAGAGAGATGTTTTTAACTTTAATAGGTAGTAGAGGCCAGGTGCCTCATCGAAATGAAGACATGCATAGCATTAAAAATTGACTACTTCATTAAGTCGTTACTAGATGCCGCCCGAGATTGCATCCAACACTTTTTACTGTAGCTTTATCCTACTATAATATCTTCCTACAACGATATTACTTTAACAGATTAAAGAGTTATTAACATGCTAGAATTAATTAATAACTCGAAGATGTATTTATTAAAAAAAAAAAATCTCCTGCAATATAAAAGTTAATTTATAATTCACATCTCACTGTATACCTTTTAATTTCAAATAAAATTTTTTAATGAATAAATTATAAAATTAATTTAAAATAATTAAGCGAAATTACTGTATGTAAAAATAACAAAGTGTACAGACAAAACAAAATAAATTCAAATCACTTGCGTACTGTTTATCACTTGTAAATAGTAGAAATGGATATACATTTTTTTGGTGTCACCCTGTAGATCAAAGGAGCTTTTACCCCATTTTTTTATTGTAAGAAAAATAAAAGCTCCTGTAGGTAAAAATTAATATATTGTTCCGTTTTATTACATTTTAATTTGTATTTCTTTTCGCTAGAAAGACATCTTATTAGATTTTTTTTAAAAGAAACCGATTCAAATTTTTAAAAAGTGACTCCAGTGGGGTACAGGTTGAGCCTTAACCTGAAATTAAATAATTTTTTTTGTAGTAAAATTAAAAAATAATCCATAATATTGGTGTACTATAAAACGCTTGCATATTATATATGTCGTTCTTAGTATTACAGAAATGATTTACGTAAAACAATAAGGTGTTCAAATACGTAAAATTTATTTAACCCTCGTAAAACATCAGTAAAATATATTATAAATTGTTTTCATTCACAAATATTAATTTCTTATAAATCTAACAGAAGCGCCACTTTCCAGACGAAAAATCTTGTAATGTAAGGGTTTCGTAGTACCCCACTTTTAAAGTTTATTTTTGATTATTTTTAAATGAAAAAATATATACCTATAGGTAAAGGTTAAATCTATGCTCCTCTGAAACCACTTCTTTAAAATGCAATTTAATTTTTTTTTAGAAAAAATTGAGAAAATGGGTAAAAAAAGTCGAGCTTTGTATTTGTTTTTTTTTTTTTTTGGAAAAACTGATTCAAATTTTGCAAAAGTGTCTTTAGAGGAGCACATTTTGTTTTTTTTTTTTTTTCAGAATAAGTCAAAAATAAACTTTAATAGTGGGATACTACGAAACCCTTGCATGCTCTGCTCTAAAGCCAAGTAAATACTCCTCTTAACCACTAATCTGTAATATACACTCCAAGTTAGGTTAGAATAAAAAGCATTCTGAAAAATTAGCCGTTTTGGGCAAACAATATGACGAATTGGATGTTATTTATCATATCCTCTATTTATATTTGTCATTTAATAATATGTAAACAATTACAACAAAGTGCGATTTTTGTAGAAAACAGAAAAAAAATATCTACACTTCATATTAAAGATTTAGATATTCAAGAAAAACTTAGATCTAGGTACCGTAATCTGGGGTGAGATCGGACAGGTAGTACGAGTTCGGACAATGGTGCGCGGCGTGGGAAATCACGTGACCTCGAGCACGTTTTTCATTGGCGAAGTTTTTTGCATGTGTTTACATGTCCAATATTGTCTCATTTCACTCCAGTTAGGTAGAAATTGCCGCTAGAGAAAGTTTGTGGTAAGTACGGGATATTTTGATATTTTTTATAACGTTAGAAACAAACATCTGGGGGAAGGGATCTGTAAGCAATTGAATCATAATTTTTCATATAATGTAGGTTTATATGTTTTCTAATGATTCATGAATAATTATCATTTATTTTTCATTCCCGAATTTTTTTTTTGTTATAGAAAAAATATAGCTTTTCGTGGGGCGAGTTAGGACACCATGCCCAGAAATTACAGGCGTCCTCTTGGCGTAAAACAAAGATCCAACTATGCTAAAGAGGCTTTAAATAAGGCTGTTGAAGATGTCAGGACTAAAAGGAAGACCCTGAGGGAGGCAGCAGAGTTCTACAACATACCAAAATCGACAATAAATGACAAAATGACAGGTAAGCACGCTAAAAAAAGTGGCGGGCAAACCAAATTAAGCCAAGAACAAGAGAGTGAACTGGCACAAGGAATTTTAACTTCCGCCGAATGGGGCTTTCCCTTAACTAGGCTGGATATTCGCCTAATCGTCAAATCATATTTGGACAGATCCGGAACAAAAATCACAGGATTTAAAGACAACATGCCCGGGGAAGATTGGTTTTATGGATTTATGTTTAGACATAAAATTTTATCGGAGCGCCTTGCACAAAATATCAAGAGGAGTAGAGCAGAAGTCGATAGGCAAAAAGTTCAAGCATATTTTGGTAACCTTCAGGCTGTTATGAGACCTATTCCTTCAGAGAACATAATTAATTATGATGAATCCAATTTAACTGACGATCCTGGAAGATCAAAGGTCATTGGTAAAAAAGGATCCAAACATATAAATAGAATTATTGATTCTTCTAAAAGCAGCACGTCAATTATGATGGCTGCTAGTGCTTCAGGTGTTTTGCTGCCTCCGTATGTCGTATACCGAGCTCTTCATATTTACCCACCTTGGATAGAAGGGGGCCCAGAAGGCACTGTATACAGTAGATCGAAAAGTGGGTGGTTTGAGACACCAATATTTGAAGACTGGTTTTTACAAGTGGTTTTGCCATATTTCCGCAAGTTAGAAGGGCGAAAGTTGTTAATTGGCGACAATCTTTCCAGTCACTTGTCATTGTTTGTGATTAAGCAATGTGAAGAAAACGACATTCATTTCATTTTATTACCCCCATATGCCACCCACTTGCTGCAACCTCTGGATGTTGCGTTTTTTGGCCCCATGAAGAAACACTGGCGTGCAAACTTGACTGATTGGAAAATGAAAAATAAAGGTGTCCTGCCTAAATCAGAATTTCCTCGTCTTTTAAAGAAAACTTTAGAATCTTTGGGCCCGAATATCGACAAAAATATCAAATCTGGTTTTAGAGCTTGTGGAATTGTTCCATTAAACGCTGAAATAGTTTTGGAAAAGTTGCTCGGAAAGACAGCAGAAAAGGATAATGCTAATGATCACTGGAGCCAAAGTTTTTCCGAATATTTAAAAGATTGTAGATGGGAGGAAAAAAGCGAAAAATCGAGGAGGGGTAAAAAGCTGAATGTTGCCCCTGGAAAAGGCGTGAGAACAGAAGATCTTCCCCAAGAAGAAAATATTATTTTTGAGGAGAGTGATGTGGAAAACATTTGCGTAGAAGAGGAAGAAAACGTTTATGAAGACGAAAATGAAATGTCTGTATTTGAGCAACCTTCTACCAGCACTTATGAGAGAGAACCAGAAGTTGATCAAAATCTCATTGAAGTGGGAGATTTCGTTGTAGTTTCCGTTCCTTGTGAAGACCAAAAAAAATTTCGATATTTTGTTGGTCTTATAGATAAAATTGTTGATATAAAGGAAGAGCTTTTTTTAGTAAAATATCTTGGAATAAAAGGCGAAAAAAATAATTATTTTATATTTCCCGATATTTCTGATGAGGGACTTGCGTTTAAAAAAGATATTTTTAAAAAAATTCTTCTAAAAGAAATAAGAAGAGGAAGGCACTTTTTTAAGCACCTTCCCGACAACATCAAAATAGAATAATGAGTTTATTGCAATATTCTTTGTTAATAACATAGTTATTACGTGTTTTTTTAAATGTTTTTATGTTTTTTGGAAACTTATTTTAGTTTTATTGTTTATGTTCTTGGTTAATAACATAGTTATTACGTGTTTTTAAATGTTTTTATGTTTTTTTGGAAAAATATTTGATTTTTGTTACTTTAAATAAAATTGTTCGTACCGAAATTGTGTTTGGACCCCCTATCCCCCCTAAGAAATTTTTTTTATGAAATCTGTATATATGTATATTTAATTATATTTGTCCGAACACACTTTTACTATAAATTAAGTTTGGATTTTCCTATAAATTAAAGGTGATCCGAACTTAGACCACCCATAGGGGTGAGTTCGGACACCTTTCAATAATAAAAAAAAATAGAATTTTTTGAAATATGCAAAAAACAAATACTGTATTCGATAGAGGAAGGTTTAAGGTTCTTATATTAATTTTATCAGATTTTTACAAAAATCTAGCCTCTTGCTATTAGGAAAAAAACCTTTAAAATGTGTCCGATCTCACCCCAGATTACGGTAACTCTAGGATTGATTATGCCCTAGTTTCTAGCCGATCAAAGCTGGACTCAATACTGGATGGTTACTAGAAATGGAGAAAAGTTTAAAGGACTATAGAAGATTATGTCAAATTACGACAGAAATTTATAATAATTATAAGTAAAAACAAACAATTACTAGTCTAATAAATGTAGAAAATATTTATTATAAGAATAATAATGATTTGTAGTTATTACAACATACAAATTTTCGAATTAAATATATTTTAGTTTTTTTATTTAATTTTAAATTTGCCCGCCATAATTTTCACTACGTTAAAAAAAAACCTATATTCTGTTCCGTGAATATTACAGTGTGAGCTCAACACACTGAAAATGTTGACGACTACTGTTTTAGAATATCTACGGCACTGGTTCACATCTAGAGATTTTACTTTCCTTCATGAACCGCCCATACAAAAATCGTGATAGTTTGATAATCAATAGGTAGATAAAAAAATTATAGATAGGTACTTATAATTAGGGCATCATATAATTCATTTTTATATAAAATATTAAAATCGTATCCTTAATATATAAGTAAAAAATCGACCGAAAAATCAAAATCTAACATGGTTGACTCAAGAAACAATAAAGTATTCGGTTATTCCAACAATTTCTTCGAGGCTAACGATATTATAAAAATCGTGGCTGGCTTATGGCGGCCTGGAAAAGACCAACCGCTATGGCTGCGATTACTGTACTTTTTCTACGTCGGTTTCATGTACTTCAACGGTTCCGTTTACTTCGTTTGCCAGTATCTGATTTTCGACGAAATGTTAAAAGATATACCAAAATTGTTGAGCTGGTTCGGTATGGTTTTGTCTCTTACGTTGGGCTTGGTTAAGTTGGGTATATTCGTTTTTGGTCAAAAGAAAGTCGATAAGATTATAGCGAATTTGCAGCATGATGATTTTAAATATGCGTCGTTGGACGAAAACGGACCTGGGCAGATGTTTTTAGAGGAAAAAAGAGCTAGCAGACGTGTTACTTTCTTGGTAATTATAGATATGCAACAATATTTTATAAAATTGTAATTTTTTTAGCGATATAACTTATTATTTTTTCCACAAATTTATTAAGAGAACATTTCGATGTTTAAGAGCAATCCAGTCCCTTCTGACGTCACACCGCACGAATCTCACTAACTCCCCTTAAAGTATTTGGAACCTTTTTCGCTACATAAATTTGGCAATGTTGTGTGTCTTACGCTGAAGGGTCCGATTACAATTCAGGTATAATTCGTTGGCTATCGCCGCCTACTGGGGCTTAGTGGCTTGTTAATATTATAGGAATGTAGGAATATTATATTTAAACCAAACAACTCAAATATTTTTTATTTATTGATAGTTATAGATGATATACAGGATGTCCCGAAATTAGACGATCATATTTTAACAGCGTAATCTATATCCTACAAGTATTAGAAATTAAAAATTAAAAAAAACCGAATTCAAAAATGTGCAGATGCCGTCACCAAATTTATATAGGATCACCCCTGAGGTACCCCCTTACTACCAAAAAAAGAATCATATAAATCGTAGATTACATCCTAAAATAGTAGTAAAAGTTCATATAAACATAGGTCTGAAAACTTTTCTTTTCCGACATACAGGGTGTTAAAGGTGAAGTCCTGATACCACATTTTTGTAAATATTTTCTAAACGTTTAAAGATAATTAGGTAAAATTTGTTACAAATACTTACCTTTTTACGCTTCATTTATTGGACTAAACCCCAGTTATTGATCATCTTCTTAGGTGGGTAAATTAGGGGGAGCTTAGGGTAAAATTGCCCTGTGAGTCTGTGTGTCTATATCCACCATAACTCATGAACCGATACACAGAAAAACACTAAATTTTAAACTTATGTTTTTTTTCGGCCTGGCGTGAAATGATTAGATTTTGGACAAAGTCGGAACATCTGGGGGGGGGGGGTACTTTATAAAAGGCCGTTTTTATATTTTATTGAATATATCTGTTATTTATGTTTGGAGAAGAAAATTATTCAAATAAAAGTTACTTCTAATATTATTATCTATAATTTTTGCGTTATGTCAAAATTTCCTGAAATGGTCCGTATTCGAGAAATTTGACAAAATGTGCAAAATTCTAAACTAAACTAAAAGTTGTTTGCGATATCGATCTCTATAATTTTTGTTTATACATGATTTTTCTAAAATGGACCGTAATGGAAAAATTGTAGGAAAATTGCTAAATTTAAATTTTTCAGTATTTTCGTTTTCAATGAATAACTATAGAAAAATGTTTCGAGGTAGATAGATGTATGTGGAAAATGTATATATTTAGTTTATCCTCTAAACATTTATAGAGGTACTGCAATAAATTGTACAAAATAACCAGAGAAAGCCTATAATAACTAGATAGGAAAGTCATGTGTTGGACACATCAGATTTTTTGACTATAAAATTTGGAAAACCAATATTTTCTGTATAATAAAGCTACATTTGTTGCATCTCGCTAGGACGCGCCATTTTCAAGAGAAAAGCATGTTACCTTATTCGAAAGAGTAAACAATAATTAGTAGGTCTGTAGAATTAGAAATTTTATTTTTTTTTTAACTTTTTTTAACCGGTAACTAAAGAAATTTTAGAAAATATTTCATCTGGACTTCACTTGTAACACCATGTATCTCGGACCTATGTTTATATAAACTTTTACTCCTATTTTTAAGCGACTTCATAAAAGGAGGAGGGAGGTTCTCAATTCGTCGCAATATTTTTTTTAATTTTTTTTTATGTATGTTCAGCGATAATTCTTTAACACGGTGTCCGATTTCAATGATTCTTTTTTTGTTAGAAAGGGGGTACTTCAGAAGTGGTTCCATATAAATTTGGTCAAAATCTAATAATTGGGCCCATGAGAAAATTCTCAAACTCTTCATTTTTTATGTATGTTTAGCGATAATGCTTTACCACCTTGTCCGATTTATATGATTCTTTTTTTGGTAGTAAGGGGGTACCTCAGCGGTGATCCTATATAAATTTGGTTAAGATGTGGTGACGGCATCTGCACATTTTTGAATTCCGTTTTTTTTTTAATTTTTAATTTCTAATACTTGTAGGATATAGATTACGCTGTTAAAATATGACCGTCTAATTTCGGGACACCCTGTATATTGGAAATTCGAAATAATAGTTATGACGTAGCGGTGTTTTTCTAATTGTAATCGGACCATAGGTATATGGATACGGAAAGTGATGAATTGGAGATAGGTAAATTGTATTTATTGTATTAAAGGAACAACAAATATAAGTACAATTAAATAAGTATATTAATATAACAATTTTTTAAAGTCTGTATTAAAAAAATTTTTTTCACATAGATTATTAAATTAAAAAAATAACTATTAAAACACGAAATGTTAATTTTTCTCTTTTACAATACAAAATATACAATACTGTTGAATCAAAATTTTCTCTTGGCAGCAGGTGGTTTTTGTGACGCGACAATTATGATGCTTTGCATCTCATGAATTAAAGCTAATTCTGTTTCAATCTTACCCCTTATAATTTTCGGACAAGAATATCTCAAAATATTTAAATTTTGGCAAAATAAATTAGGCAATAATATCTATAATATGCATATATTTTAATGTTTTAATTCCTTCCAGTTTCTCAAAAAAACTAAAAGGGCTTTAATTTTGAAATATCATAATGAAAATAAATGCATTCCTCGACAGCACTATTCTTAATATAATCCCCAAATTTAAGCTCCTAATGTCTTGTTAATGATTTCTTAAAATTTGCAAAAAATTAGTGGCTAAAACGCTTCTTAAAGGGCTATCTTCTGGTGTAAACTGGTGTAAATTATTGCAAGAAACGAATAATGACAGAGTGTACGATACGATAGTTACAAGCCCGTTACACTGTTTTCCACTCAATTTATTAAAAAAAAAAAATAATATTTAGGGTGTTAATTTTTTTTCTCTGAAGCTATTGGTTTTGGGAAAAAAATTCAAGAATAAAAAAAAATTAAATAAAACAAGGATTTCATAAAAGTTCATCTTGAAAAAAAGGTTTGATATGAAATAAAGTGTTGCTAATTTCACCCCCCTATAATGTAACAGAAATATTGAAAAAATACCCGACTAACGTCCTTTTCGATTACAGAATTTCAAGTTTCTAGCTTTACTGAAAAAAAAATAAAAACTCAATTTTAGTCACCACCTTTTAAGGGTGATATCTCGAAAAGGGGTGGGCTGAGGAAATTTTGTTATAGGAATGACCCATCTTAATTTCATACGAGCAATCAGTTCCTGAATTTTGACGCATGTATTTAGAAACACCCTGTATATTACACATTTTTTTAAGCGTGCAAAATTCTTGACAATCTTTTTTCCCTAATTGGCACATGTCGTATTTTTCTAGGATTTACTAACTCTGGCAGCAAACAAATAAAATAGAAATTTGTCAGCTGTACATTTTTGCCTTCCAGAATTTATCATTTCATAAATTAACTAAAAACTAAATTAAACAAAAACCTAACAACGCCTCAACAACAAACTAAGACGATCACAATAATTTCGCACCTCTTCAAAAACAACTACCTATTTTTCGACACAGGAATTAATAAATTTAACTAAACAGCAGCTACCCTTTTAACCACGGGCTTCTTAGACTAGCAGCGTTGCCATATTGACTGGTATCATTGTTTTAATAGAATTAGTATCGGAATGAAAACTATGTTAATCTTCGGTCCTGTTTAAAATTGGTAATCTTTTTGAAAAAAAGTTATTTAGAAAATAGTTAAGATATTTGTTATAGAATGCCGGTAAAGAGTCAAAAAATTAAATTTGTTAAAAAGTTGAAATTTTTGTTGTTTTTCATTAAAAATATAAGTTTTTCGCGGTTTAGCGAAATTCTTGGTTCATTTTTACAACGATTATTATGCTTTGCAACGCTGCTATTTTAGTTTTTGACCGATTTGGACTCAATGTTTTTATCGAGAAAGAAACTTTTTAATATCATGAGAAGTTCTGGAAAGAATGAAATTAATAGAATTTGGTCACAACACCGCTAGATACTTTGTTGAAAAGTACCCACGCTCAATATGCCTCCGACATTTCACAAATACTTTATACATGGGCCTGAAATAATATCTTCTGCTTTGTTGCCTAGAGACCAATTAACAGAGAAAACTAATGGGGACGTCTTTAATTCGTTTTTACTTAGTTTCGACCTTGTAATCACGAGCAAACAAAAATTAAAAAAGAAAGAACCTGCAGCACTTTCCTAAAGAAGCAGTAGATTTGTTTAAATCTGGACTCGTCCAGCTTCACAGCCATGGTATATTCATAAATCTGATGATGACCGTGGAGACAATAAAGAAAATGTCTTATCACATTCTAAAGAGGATGAAATTTGATTACAATTATCATAGCTTTTCTAAATGAAATTATTATAATATTACATTTTTATTATTTGTATCTTTAACGTGTGGAGAGTGGATTACCCCCATGGCACTTAGGCCTCATTAGGCTTATGACATTTTTATTATATTATATGTTAGTATTACAATAGAGGGCTTATAAAGTGTTTATTTGCTAAAAAAAAAAAATAGAAAGATATTAAGAATAGAATATACATTTTTATTATATTATATTCTTAATAACTTTCAATTTTTTTAGCAAAGCAACACTTTATATGTCCTCTATGTATTTTCATTTGTAATACTAACACCTCTACAAAGCAATATTTAACTTACAAATTCATAAAGAAAGTCTGTGATTTAATGCCAACTTTGATGGCTTGTTGCCTCAGTGTGCGCCGTTGGGAGTTCTTTTATCCATTCTAGAAAGTCTATGGGATTTGTGGATCCGTCGAAATGGAGTCCCCATTTTCTGATTATCTCCATCTGTTTGCATTTGTTGATGTTCGTGTTTGTAGCCGTATCATTAGTGGAGTTTTCTGGGTCCCTTGCCTTTGTCGTTCTGATTATGTTTACTAGTCTAGTCCTTAGTTCTTCCACCGTTCTTTCTGTAGGAGCTTTCCGATCGCATAGATATGTTATTAATTCTTTTTTTTTTTAGTTTGTAGATCTACCCTACTTTTGTGGAACTCTCTTCGACTCCTGGCATTTTTGCTTACTGTTATTGGGCGCAACCTGTATCTGTACTTGATAGCTTCTTGTGTACTTGCAGCGGACTACCTTAGTTTTCTTTATTATTCCTTTACTGCTCGGGCGCCATCTGTAACTCCTCCTGTGGGTCGATTCTCGACTCGTAGGAATATTTTCCTATAGGAATTTTTGACATTTTTACATACATCGAAAATTTATGACATTTTCCTACATATTCGCTCCGTGCGAAGTCATGAAAAGGGAAGCAAAAGCGATACTAGCGCTAGCTGCGAATAATTCGTGCATTTTAGGGGGATATTTTGTAATTTTGGCATATCAAATACACGTATACATTTTACTTTTTTTCAAAAAAGTAGGTAAAAACAACACAATAAGCAACCGGAGTTGCTGTGTTGAAAATTGTACAAATACTAGCAAAAAAAAAACAGTGAAACTTATATAACAAATTTCACTAACAAAGTGGAAATTAAATCAAAGAAATAAATGGATAGGTGTACAATAAGAAGAAAAATTACCTTTATTTTTGTGATAATAACAGTAATGCTGGAAATAGTAGACATCAGAAACTAGAAAGTTTTTAAATAAACAATAAATTATCATTTTACGATGTTCTTTAATATCCCTTTATTCTTAAATGTTCATTCAGCAAGGAGTAGATTTCAAGATTTCTGCCGTTGATTATAATATTTGGCTGGTATGTAATTTTGTGACTTACTGATCGGAAACCAGTTTTAATCATTCATTCTATGTTTTCTTTAGAACAAAAATGAAAATATAAGTAGCGATCCTTTTTATACATTTTAACTTCACGCTATTATAAATGGTTTCTTCAATGACAACTTATTAGACTTAGGCAACTTCTCATACATTTTCCAGTAAATACTGTTGCCTGCCTATATTTTATTATTGATTTTTAATGATTATACATAATTTTCTTCAATTTAAGCGTGAAAAATATATAATAATAATAAATTAATGTTTTAATTGTTTTATAAATCCATATACTTTTATTAAAACTAACATATATACTTTTTATTTACGAATTCTATTAAAAATTGTATTTGTCAGTATAGGCAGAAATACTCCTTTAATACCAAAACAAATTGGCGCTGCTGTCGCGCACGGAGCGAATAGGAAAGTGTCACAAATTCCTATAGGAAAAGGTTCCTACAAGTCGAGAATCGACCCCCTGGGATTTGTTTGGGTAGCGGGTAAATTTTATACAGTCGGAGAAAGAATTCTTTGGAAATAAAACTTTATTCTAACAATTTATATACAGATAACAATATTTACAATATGTACATGAAAAGGTTCTGGCTAAATTTCGATTCATCGTGTCTTCAAATTTATTTCAGCGTTTCTTAGTGGTCCAGGATGGTGTGACGAAGATGAGACAAGAGCTTAGGTTTCCTCGAAGTCAGTACCTTCGTGGAAGAGATTCAAGGGGAAGAAAAACCTATAAAGTCAATACCTTTGTAGGTAATGGTCGAGACGTCGGGAAGCCTGCAGAGTCAATACCTCTGCAGGAGCAGGAGAGGAGAGTCTTGCTAAGTCAATACCTTAGTTTGACTGTCTCTGCTTTGCAAAAACGGCTACATGCTGAACTAGAATAGTGATACTGAGGAACATCGTTACAAGTCTATATAAGTTACGCTCAGTGATACCGTTGAATGTTTGAAACAGATTCTGCAACATCTCCCTACTTTCTAACTCCATGAGTTAACTGCAAACAATATTTTGGTAACAAAGAGGTACTGGTATTATTGAACAATCATTATTGTTATGCTCTTAATAGTCGATTAAGAGAAAATTGTATACCGTTAACAGGTTCAGTAAAGTAACCCCTACGTTTACCCGATTTAACTGTACTGTTTTTTGTATCGGTCGTTTATATTTCCAAAAAACTTTCTTTTATTAGCGCTTGAGTTCGTCCAATACAATAACCTCGTTCAAATAACAGTTGACATAATTTATTTTTTTTTAGGTTTTTTGTATGTACACGTGCGTTGGCATATCTGCTCATATTTCATCATCTGTGGTCCTCCACAGACAAATTCCCGGTGATACATTTGAAGGCACCAACACAACTTGTTATGATTACATGCCGTATTTTTTTCTGATCCCTTTTTCCACAGAAACGAAATACGACTGTAAGCTAGCTTTGGTGTTTATGGACGTAAGTTTTGCCTCATGGGCTTTCATCATTTCTTGTAAGTACCTTTACCATATAAATTTATTATTTATTATTAGAGAGTTATTGCAAGTGCACTTAAGGTCAGTCACTATTAGTGACGCTCTTATTTTGATATCTAAGCATGTGCAGATCACTTACATTCTAGAACTGACTTTAATAAAGATTGTGTCTGTCCTTAATTGTGGATGTTTAAGGACATCAGTTAGTGGCGACTTTATAGTTTTCGGGTGCACTCGCCGTTCGAAGTTTTTAATATTAAATAATTGATATCATCGTCATCTAAACCTTCTAAAATGGTAATTTCTAATGCCTTTTCCATATTATGTACTATTATAAACAAAAAAAAAGATGGACTGTAGTTTATTATTTTTAAAATGAGGTTAATAATATGTATAAAGACAATGACTAATGAAATTTCAGGTTTGCAATAAGTCTTATTTTAGCATGGAATTTATTTGCCCTAATAACGTTGGCTGACGTTATAGAAATTTGCAATATCTCTCTATTATCTGCTTATTTTATTGGTTACGCCTAGCAACGCCCTTAATAGCATATTGTTTTTTCTACGATTACTATGCAAAGTAGACTTTTGCACATTCAAATCTAACTGGAAAATTGGAGTTTTACATGAATTGTCATAGTTTGACATTATTGCCGCATATAGGCGGAAAGTTACATAAAATGTTTTATAAATATCAAATAAAAATTGCTCATAATTCTAACAATACAACTAAAACGTTATTTTTGAATTTAGTAAAATAAATTAACCAAACGTTGTCTATAAAATTGACTGCAAAGACTTTAATTCCACTTACATTGGACAAACAAAACAATATCTACATAAAAAAATAAAAAACCATAAAAATAATATCGTAACTAATAATGAAAATTCCACTGCTTTAACTAAACTTGCGTTGGAAAATTTGCACTCTTTTGATTTTGAAAATGTAAGAATTCTCGAAAATGAACCTATTCTCAACAAAATAACAATCTTGAGATGATACATATTAAAAAAAATAACAATTCACTTTTAGTTTATTTAAAAGTTTATAGAGAAGAAGTTGTTTATTACTTTTAAACTTTTCCAAACTTTATTATTAGCGAGGGGAAACGCCATTTTATTTTCAACTGCCAACACTAATGAACTGTCTATCATATGTCAATATTGTCATTGGATGTGATTATACGGTAGGCGTGTTCGGTTAGTAGGTACTCCGCGAGCAAATCAAATATGAGGTATATTACTTTTAATCGAAAATATCGTTCCATCCATACAATTTGTATAAATGGAGCGATATTTTCGTAAGTACTGTAGCTCAGTGCTACACTTTCAATGTAAAGAAATAGATTCCATCACGAGGGCTTCTGTCAATAATGTATTTTTTTACCTCGCGGTGGATTAATCGAACTCTTCTGCTGAGCGAGCTGAAAGGATATATTTATTTATCTTTGTCGTATTTGCTTTGCACTCTTTTTTGAAGGCACTAATAAAGATAAGTTTGACCTGTAGCAGTTGTCTTGTGAAATAAAAATATTGTTCAAAATGTTCAAATTTAATATTGGATATAATTGTAGATTTTTGATGATTGCAGTAATTTTATAACTTATTGATATTTCAAAATATTATTTAAAACAAAAATAGAATACATATACATAATTATGATATTCCTAAAACGTTCTTGAGAAATCATTCCAGAAACGTTTCTTTAGAGACATCGTAGGGACGTACCATTTATGTCAGAAACATAGAAACATACATGGAACCTAAAGGGGATATAGCTGGCATATCGGTATTATTAGGGTCTATATCCATTACTTTTCCATGATCACGAAAACATTATTAATTTGTTTGTAGATTATGACGGTGTATTCGTAGGAATTTTAAAATTATTCAAAATTCAGTTGATAATAGTAAGTCACGTAATTTCCACAATTCGTCAACGTAGTTTGATCAAATTAAAAATGCCCGAAAATATGGAAATCATGCATGACCAAGAATGTCCGGAATTGGAAAATGAGATGTACTGTCAATTGAAACATATAATCGAGCATATACAACTGTTATTAGGGTAAGTTTATCATTTAAGTTGTATAATTTGGCCTAGTATATAATTTATAAAATTGAACACTTGTTTCTTATAACTGCGGTTTAATATCAACATGTTATAACAGACTAACAAAAAGCAGTGAAACAAGCAATAAGAGGCCATAGACGCCCCATATAACCTATATGTTTATGTCGTCATTATGATTCTTATATTCTGTAGTCTTTATTTCCTCTTATAACTATGTCAATTGAACTCACGCAAGACTCATATTTACTACTAATAAGGCACATAAAGATAGGATACGCAACGACCGCAGCAACGGTGGCGTCATCTGTGCCTCTCAGATGTTAACTAAAGGTACACGTCGTTTGTAAGCAGACAGTAGACATGGACAGTAGAACGTGGACAGCAGTGGACAGTTTTTAAGCATGGGCTTCTTATGATCGTTTCCTATCTTTATGTCCCTTATCTCTGGTAACTACTTATTTGACTCAGGACTGTCTTTTTCTGTGAGGATAAAATGTGTTTTTTTCTTAAGGTATTTGCTTTTATCTGAACACATACTAACAAAATGGTCACGACCCTGGTATTTCGCACATGTTTTTTCATCAAGACGTTTATTGTCAAACCTATATTTACAACTATAAATCTTACAAGGCTTATCTTTCCATAACTGGTTTCAGGATATACTAGCTCTTATAGCATTTTGAACTTTGCTGATTTCTGGGGATCTACAGAAATTTATTGTCTTATTCAGAGTCAAAAACGCTTCTCTCATTAGTTTTTCCCTACCAGAGGTTTCTCTCAAACCTATGACAATTCTATTCCTTATTATCTCATCTTGATTGAAACATTCGGTTGTCTTCATTCTCTTTCTTAACTCAGTCAAAAAGCTTGCCCTTCTTTTTGCACTGTAATGTTTATATTTCTCTTTTAACATTGGCATTTTTCAGGGTGGATACAATGATTCTCAAATTTCTGAACTATTTCTGCCAAAATCTTATCTTTACCTGTCTCAAATAAAAAACTGTTGAATAAGTCATCACCAATTAGGGACAATAAACATACGACTTTCTTTTCTTCTTCCTTGGCATCTAATCCTGTGTCTTTTAAAAACGTGTTTAATTTTTGGGAAAATCTTTTTCAGTTCTCTGAGATATTTTCATCATATTTATCATATTTTAAACTATCAACATAGAAATTTTGAAAACATGACATACTACGTTAATTTATCTTCTGATCTTTGAACACTTGAACCAAGGAAAATGTGATATTTGTTCATAGAACATTTTTTGCTTCCATTATTTCCAAATCTGCAATAAAATAATTTACAATATTTTTTACAAATACTTTAAGAGCCTCTGAGGTTAGTGTAAAGACCGCTAATGAGTTGTCATAAGCGTAAATATTTAACTTTTGAGAATTCATGTTGTCGAGTAAATTATTTATAGAGAGCAGGAATATTAGCGGTCCCAACATAGACCCCTGAGGTACTTCTATATTTTTCTTATGGAATTTGGCAAAGGAGATTAATTCTACGATTAAAATGAATTTTGTTTTAGAGCTCAAGATGATATTGAAGGACTATTCACTTTTGTGACTCTATTTCAAACGTTATCCTCGCTATTTATGTTTGCTTCTTGCATGTACGTCGCTTCTATTGTAAGTTTCAAGAAGAATATCTAAATAAAAAACTAGAATTATTTTTATTATTTTTTTTTTTCAATTTTAGGTACCGGTGTCGTCTAGCGAATTTTTCGCGCAAATTGAATTTTTTATTAGCATACTTATCCAATTGTTTGTGATTTGTTGGGCTGCAAATGAAATTACCATAGCCGTAAGTAAATTTATACTTTTAAACATGATCGCGCAAGATTGTAATGACAAATTTCTGGCTACGCCACTGTCTGAAATAGTAGCATCCTTTTATTCAAATTATCAAGACTATCTAATATATGCTTTAAAATATTAAAATTATTGTGATGTTTGTTTATTTATTAATAATTTATTTAAACACTTATTTATTTATAACAATACTATTCTAATTTATATATATTTCGAATGTCTTTAAACTGTTCACTATTTATATTCAGTGTCTATCTATTAATAACTTTTCGTTGATCCTCCACCAATATTTATATACAAATTGGTGGATTCCAGAATGCTCCTCCACCAAAACGTCTTATATCTGGAATCAGTGGCGCAGCCAGAAACTTCGTTCGGGGGGGGCCGAATCAGTGACGCATCGAGAAAACGTACATTGAGGGTTCAACTAAAAGCGCTGTAAGCAAACTGCAGAAACAGAAAAATTATTTTGGGTGCCACGCCCAAAAAAAAGCCTTTTCAGGACGAGAATTATTATTTATGCACAATTACAAAATAATTGAAATATAATATTTTTAAAATCCTACCCAGGTGTGCCCGAACTAAATCAAATACTTGTTTAATACATTGGGTTTAACATTTATTATTGATTTCCAAATTTTAAGAATATATTAAGAAAATGAGAGATATTGGGTCAAAAGAATAAAAGTACAAAAAAAATATAAACAAAAATATTTAATGCAAAACTACGTCCTAAAGCAAAATTCTTCGTTTTGTTTTTGCCATTTCGTCCAAAATTTCTTCTGCCGTAATGACAATATCGTGGTTTGCGTAAAGGACTGCCAAACCATTTAGCCTATTCTCTTGCATAGTGCTACGCAAATAATTTTTCAAATATTTTAAATTTGAGAAAGATCTTTCGGATGTTGATGTTGTAATTGGTAAAGTTAAAAAAAATTGTAAGAGTCTTTTTATGTTTGGAAATATAGTGGAATCACATTCAGAATAAACTTTGACCAGATCTTCCTTCAGGTTCTTATTTTCGCATTTTTTGTACCATAACTCAAGTTCAGCTTTTAATATAGTTTCGTTACAAAAACCTTCAAGAAAGTCATGCATTTTGTAAAAGCTGTGGAGTTTCAAAAAACATTTATATTGGCTTTTAAAGTTCTGGTTATTAAAAGGAAAGAGACATTCAAAATTTTGAATTGTTTTTCGATGGTTTAAGAACCTTTCTTCGAGATTTACTATCAAGCCATCTAAAAACGGAATAAAAATGGTGATTTTAAAATATTCAGAAGCAGATTCGGTATTTAAAACAAGTCGTTGTGTTTGTCGTGCTGGTACTCTGGGCATCTTAATTTCTATATCGAACTCCGAAAGAAGATCTTGAGCTTCTTTAAAAATATTTTTAAAATGCTCATCTGCCTGGCCTCGTATTTGTTTAAGTTGATCTGCCACATCATCTGCTAGAGCCAACGCTTTACAAAGATTAAGGTCAATCGTTTGCAGTATTTTACTCAGAGGTAGCGTATGAGCGTACAATCTTTTTGAGCACATCAATGCAATGGTAAATTTAGAAGTTTTGATGCTGGCTAGTAATCCAGATGCCTCAGTTGAAGTAGGACGATCTGGCCATTGTTCTATTTCTTCCAAAGCTGCCACCAGCGGTTTATAGAGTTCTTCAAATATCAAAACAGCATCATGCCTTGCTACCCATCGAGTAGGACATAATCTTTTTAAGCCATGCTTTTTTGTTTCCGTACATAATAACTCAATTTTTTGGTGCAAAACGTTCTCCCTTTTGGGGGAGTTAAAAAAGCAATATGCTTTTTCAATTGTTCCTAAGCAGTTTCGTATTTCTGTTACATTAGATGCTGAAGATAAACAAAGGTTTAAATTATGTGAAGCGCAGTGTACATACGTAGCCGCAGGAAATTTTTCTGAAATTAACTTTTGAACGCCTTTAGTATTCCCGGACATAGCAGCTGCTCCGTCATATCCCTGTCCACAAAGGTATTTACAGTTAACTTCTAGTTTATCTAAAGTTCCCAGAATATTCTCAGCTATAGAAGCGCCAGTAGTAGAAGTAATTTCGACGAATTGTAAAAATTTTTCATGAATTTGATCTTTCCTGTCGACAAATCTAACACATATTGATAACTGTTCTTTATTTGATACATCCGCTGTTTCATCGGCTAATATAACGAACGCTTTCGCGGCGTTAAGTTCTTCTACGATTTTTTGGATAACTAGTCGATTGCATATTTCCAATATTTGATTTTGGATGTCCCAACTCAGATATGTGGCATTGCCTCCACAAAAATTCAAATGATCCAAAAGGGTTTGGTCTCCAGCTTCAGCTCTTAGCCTTAATATATTACGAAAGTTACCCTCGCTTCTGTTTAGGTCAGAATGCAAGTCCAAAGATCCGTAATCTTTATGTCCTCTTAATGGCAGTCCCATTCTTCCACAAAAAAGTATTGTTTTAATAATTGGTGTCAGTCGCTGCCGATTTTGTTGTATTATCAATTCAGATGACTTGGTTAATAACTTGTCTATAGAATAACCGGAAAAACTTTGTTTTAAATTATCTGCGCGAAGTACTGAAAACCTGTGATATTGTGCCCCTCCATGAGCTTCAAATTTTCCTATTGCTTTTTTCCATCCCCGAAAAGGCTCTTTTACTAAAGCTCCAAGAATCTGGCTAGTATTATGATCGGCAAATGATGAAGAAAATAGAACACAGTATTTACAATAGGCCCCATCTTATATTTTTGAATATGTTAACCAATTATATTTCGTCAGCCACACAGCATTAAATTTTCGTTGATGTTGTCCTTGTTTTTCCAAAGGAAACACAAAATTCTTAGGTGGAGTCCAAAATCTTTCGACTAATTGTAGTTTAGTCTCACCTGTTTATGTACAAAGTTAGCAATATCATACTTGTCGTGAACTTGGTTATTCTGTGAAGTCATTGACGAAGAGGCTTCGCATTCTAATCTGCTTCCTTCCGATGTTTTTTGTAGAGGCAGCAATGAAACATGTTCATCATTATCTAATTTGTTTTCTGTCAAGGCTGATGCGGTGCATTGCAGAGATGTCGATACTGTCGATGAAACTATATCACTATCTTCAGCTAGCCTTGGTTTTTTTAGAAAGTTCCATAGTATATTCGAACTTCCTTTATGTTTTGGATTTCCTCTGTTTTCCATCACGTAAAAATGTATTTGCGCTGCAATCTGCAATTAAAAAAATGTCTTAAGGACCTTAAGGTTAACCTACACTTGCGTTCACAAATTATAATTGCATAGATATCAGTGTGTCGTGTTTGATACAGTAGTTGGTGCAACAGGCTTCAGCCTAGAGTGATTTTTTGATACGGGTTCGAGTCCGGCCAAGTGCAACTTTTTTCTTTTTTTTTTGTTAGTTTTACCGGTAAAAGTGCGATTTATAAAGGAAAAGTGTTTACTTCTTTTAAATTAGTTTTTTATTAATTAAATATGCGGGCATTAATTGTCCTTGTGAAAGCCAAAAAGCCGTTGTATATTTTAATGGGCTTAAGGCCGTGCTGGCCGATGGCATTCTTCGCCTTTTGCCTAGTGTAAAAAAGTTTAAACGCTTACATTTCAAAAACTTCAAAACTTTTAATCACGTCTCACGTGTGAAAAAAATATTTAAATATAAATAAAACTAACCTGAGAACTTGTCGATAGGTTTTCACAAATGATTTAGCTTTACACTGTCCCTAAATTAAACAGTTGCTTTTAAAACAATAACAAAACTAAATACCACATGTGCACCTGTAACGATTGCTTCTGATCATATGATATTTCAGTCGACAGTGGGCTGGAGACTGAAGACTGGAGGTAGGCCATGGTAGGCCGACAGCTTTGTGCATTGTTGCCGAGTATAAAAATTGCGTACTGCGGCCAGATTACGTGTCTTTGCATTGGTTCACGAGTCCACACATATTGGTTCAATGGTACTACAGTTTTTGCTGGACGGAAAAGATATTTATTTTTAACATTTATTATTGGTTTCCAAAAGAAGTTCTTAGATTTTAGATGATTTAGAAACAGTACAGTATATAATGTAGTACAATAAATAGAAAATGGGACTATACAATAAAACCAGAAGGTTCGGGAATATAAGAAAAAAAAATGACCCTTACATTTTTAAGTGTTGAAGTTACCTACATTTAATTATAGTGTGTACAGTTCATCAAATTTCTAGAGGTGTTCGACGCCCAGACAGAGAACGCGCTACGTGTGACTAAGATAGCTATTGTACAGTCTGCTAAACAAGTTATTTTAAATAGTTTTTAATATTTTTAGGTAATTAAATTTTAAAAGTGTGGAATAGTTTAGGGATTAAATTGGTCTGATTGGACTTTCCTAGAACGTTTTTAAAAGCAGCTAAAGATAGTATGTAGAATTGAAAATAATTATTATGCCATAAAAGGTGTTTTGGAATTCCTTCAACCTTTTGAAATTGAGTCAGAAAATATAAATTTTATAGGATAGCGGAAAATACCTATAATTTTTTTGTAGGCCTTTGTAAATCGTGGAAATAGTTTATATTTTATTTCTACCTTATTAAGGAAAATGGTACTTATTATTAATAACGGTTGTTTCTGAAACATTACTAAAATTTTCGAAATTTTGTTTTTCTACAAAATAATAAACTATACTATTTAGAAAAAAATTTATTTCTCTTATAATTTTATAAAAAATAACAGGGGAATATTTACATTTCTTGATCTATTAAACAAAACGATAAATTATCTCGACGAATGACACCATGTTCTAGTACGGAAGCTAGCTTTACATTTTTGTTGGTGGTTTCATGGGTTTCATATCAATTTTTTGTAATTGTAGTTTACACGTACATATACCTCTTAACACTTGTTTGCTTTATTAAAAAAGTGTGTTGTTGTGATTTACGTCGAAATAAGTCAAAAACAACTTGAAACCCCATATAAAATCAAAAAGGAGAAACGGAAAAAAATTGAGCCTGTAAATGAACACAACTCAGAAACAAAAATAGCTATCTAATAATAAAAAAATAAAATTTGATTCTTGTGCAGCTTCATCTATATCATTAACTGTTTTTGGTTTTTTAATGGTTTTTCTTGGTGATGAAAATTCCGATATCTCACGGTTATCGATTCTTTTTTTCTCTCCAGAAATGCGGACGACAGTGTTTTTAGATACTCCTGTGGCTGCAGCAACACGAACATTTACATTTTTAAATGGTATTGAAGGTGAATTAAAGTTTCCTTCTCTTCTCATAAACTCTATAACATTGGCTATTATTTCGTGAGATTGACTGTTAATCACGCGGCCTCTTAATTTGCTATTAAACTCCATACTTAGGTTCTATTAAACTGTAATGAGCAAAAAACACAAACGAAAATAAAAGAAATATTTTAGCGAAATTTACATCTGACATTTACGTCTGAATTAAATAGTGAAATACTTGATGCGCAGAGTGTACTTTCATTGCGTAAATCCGTCGGGATGCCTGTCAGTAGTGCTTTCTCTGTCTAGCCGTCGAAAGCCTCTAGAAATTTGATGAACTGTACCTAGAATAATTATTCTAAAATCTCTGAGGGGGCCCGGGCCCCCGAGCCCCCCCCCCCCTGGCTGCGCCCCTGTCTGGAATTTACCAGAAACATTAT